ACATCAGTAGACAAACTTTACAGCAATTAGTTAAAATTAACATTAACAGTGTAAGGTTCTGTTTGGAATTTGAGTGGAAATGAAACCTTCTGAAGTATTTTTCAGCTTCTCTAGAGGTTTTCAAAATTGTATCCTAGACTAGAGTGAGTATGTTCTATCTGGCATGAACCTGTGTAGGAACGATGTTCTGTATCAGTATTAAACTAAGAAAAATGGGTGTCATTTTTCCGCCCCGTTAACATCTCTATAACCTTTTGGAGGGATTCCTGCTCTAGACTTACACTAAACTAATGTTCCTCTTCCCCTGTTTTGGGGAGAAATAATATGAAATCCTGCTTCTTTCCTTTTCTCCCTTGAGCTTTGTGCTTTCTAATGTATTAACAGTTTATAAGTTCTCTTTTCACTGGGTTTCCCTTTACCGAAATCTTAGATAGAATGATTAAAGTTTTGTTGCTAAACACAGCATATTGTTGTTCTGTCTCTGGTAAGTCCAGAGGAATGTACAAACTAAAATTAAGGTCATTTGGGAGATTATTTGTTTTTTATTAAAATACCTTCAGGAAAACTGGTATGTTTGCACCTTCAAACTATGTCATGGCCTTTTCTGCTGAGTTGCTTGTCAATTTTATTTAATTACCATATACAGTGTAGTTTAAACACACATGCACGCGCACACACACACTTCAAGCTGCATTTCATTTTTCTGTAAGCAGAGCACAGGTATTCCAGTACTGTTGCTTCAATATGCAGAACTGTCTTACCTCTGCTGTAAATGTGATTGTGTTTATGCTTTCCCAAAAATGGTGAAGTAGTGCTTGGCAGTATGTACTTGTTTTTACTGATGTTTCTGTTATCAGAATACCATGTTTAATGCTAGCAGCATATTAAATATTTCACCTAGCCTGTTGAAACTGCACTGTGTTCTTGGTAGCCAGGAATAGATAGGAATTGTGAATCTAATAGTGACACAGGTTTTCATTTGTGTGTGCATTGGTATTACTGTGCAAGTGGTATTCCAAATCAAGTTATCGGTGAGAAAGCCTGTAGTAAATCAGGCTACAACAAAATGTTGTAGAGTTATATCAGTCAAATATATATTTTACCATCTATGTTTGCTCTAGCATTTTGATGGGAAATTATTATGGGATTTCATGTCACAACATTTTATTGTTAATGTAATTCCTGTTCCTTCAAATAAAATAATAAAAAGAAGTTACACAACATCACAGTTCCTTTGTGAAAGGACTATTGTGTATATGAAATGTTAAGTTTCATTTTATTTACCTAACACAAAGCAGAGCACTAATGAAACAATTACCTGTTCTTCCTTAATAGCTTTACTGTATGTGGCCACACATAGTGCAGACACCAAGTGTTTGAGTTGTATAAACAATGAGAAAGATTTGGTTTTGTGTGAGTCCAGCAGATGAAACCAAGAAAGTGAGTAGTAAGAGAAACATACTCCTAGATGTGATGTTGGTAAGATTCTGGAATAGTCTTCTCGTGAAGTACTCAATGCTCTAGCCTTGAGGTATTTTAAAATATTCTTGGGAAAACAGTAAAAAATGTATGGAAAGGAACAAGCTTGCATGATCTAACAGGTCTTGTCTTAATGTCTTCACTTACGTAAAGGTTAGTCTAGGGTATTTCTACATATATCTAATTAAAATAACAAGAATCATCACCCTGTGTACAGCACGCTATCAGTTCTTGGGATGTCTGGTGAAATTTCAGAATTCCAACTCCTGAAGTCTGGTGAGTGATCTGTTGTGAAACTTGATCAGGCAGGATTTGATTGCACTCTAACTCATAGCTGGTGGGATTAAATTCATAGACAGGAAGTCAGTACTGGTTGCATATTTGTGGCCTGGAGAAATAATCGAATTTTTCTAGAAAAAATAGTCACAATGCTTTTTAAAAATTTTAAATATTGGACATGACCAAAATGTGACTCATCAGTGACAGTGGACTTCGGTGTGTGCTGTTAATGTCACAAAAACAAACACATCTTTTGCTTCTGGGTTAGAAAAAGGTTTTAGTTTACCATTAGTAATACTGTTGGAATTTTGTTTAAAATTGAAACAGTATAAATAAAATGTATTTATACATGAAGATAAAAGAATTTTTCCATGTTTTT